ACCGACTCAATTTGTAATTACACTTTATTCTAATTATAATCTAGAACGAAAAAGTCAAACTTGTTACAAAAGATAACAAATTCAAATCAAGTTCAACACAATAATTAAAGAAAATTAGTTAGTTATATAGATGCACCTTCTATTATGAAGTCTAAGAAAACCATTGATTAATTGACTAGTAATTTAATATTATGATTGTGTAACCGAAAATCTAGTGATTTAAAAGATGAATTTGAAAATATAAAAAACAGTGAAGAAGACTTGATCATGGAGGAAGAATAAAGGACCTTGTCAAAGAAAGCAATCAATCTAGTTCTTAAGAAATGGGTCCCAAAAGGACCACTTCTTCTTTGTCACTTCATTGCGTTAGATAAGCTCTAATTCACTTTCATCACCCACATCTTCCTCTAAATAATAATTCATTTCAAAATCAATTTTATGTAGGTGTCTTGTATATGTGTGTCAACTTCAAATACTACCAACCGATGTTTTAGTTTTAGTTTTTACAAAGTGATATTTTCTTTCCCAAAATTAAGAACTCATTAATATATATATTCAAGCTAAATGTTTTTTCAACTAAAATATCTTGAAAGCATTTTCGTGTATATTTATAAGCAATCTTATGTGTTTCTTGGAGAAAAAAAGTCTCAAAACTTAGTTTCTCTTCTTTTTTATTGTAAACATTTCTCAATGATTAATCCAAACATTCTCAAATCTAGTTTGAATCTTCTATCTTCTCTTCTATTAAAGGATCATGAAACCACTCACATGATCAAACCCACTTCGCTACAATAATTAAAAAAAAAATCTTCCTTTCACAAAATAATATCAAACAAAAATCTTCTCTCTTTCTTTTCCAATTTCTAAAACCCTAATCGAAGCTCCAACAAAGATCTGATCAAGGAGAGATGGATCTCGATGAGTGGGAATTACTCCCCAAGAACAGCTTCAAGGATCTTGATCTTGATCAAGACGAGGATCATAACGGAGAAATGATGATGGATTACTTCCTCTGTCCATCTACTCAAGATCCTCTCCCCAAAACAGAGTCTCCTCCAAGATCCATAGTGGTCCCAACACATCTCCTCCAAGTTCCCATAGCTTGGGAGCCCTTGTCGGATCACGAGAACAAGAAAATACCCAATGACCCGGATCTTGATCCGGATTCAAAACAGAGCATTTTGACGGACTCTGTTTCGTCACCGAGAGTATCCTTCAAGAAAATGAAGGAAACCGAATTTGCCGACATGAAAATTGACCCACCAGCGAGGATCACGAGTCCTCTGCCTCAGATAGATGCTGCGAAACCCTCTGATTCAGAAGAAGGTGATGACTTGCGAGAGAAGAAAGAAAATGATGATGTGATTAATGATTGTGGTGGTGAGAAGTTGAATCTATGGAAGATTGGTCTTAATGGGATTGGAGCAATTTGTTCTTTTGGTGTTGCAGCTGCTGCTGCTACTGTGTGTGTCTTCTTCCTCGGGCACAACAATATCAAAGTTTGTAAGAACAAGAACCAGATGCTTAGGTTCCCAATTTACTCCGATGATAATAATAAGGTAATCTGAGTAAATGTAAATTATGTTCTTAATTTTTGTTTTGTTTTTTTTTTGCTAAAAATGTTCTTAATTTTTTATTTTAAAATTCCATATTTGTGATACGTCGTGAGTGTATATTGATTAATTATCATATATGAAAGATAAGGGAGTAGTTAGATTTGGATAAAATTGTGTAGTTATAAAGTATGAATTAGAAAAATAATATTTGTTAAGATGAACCAAAATAGTAGAAAATTATTTTGTCATGTTAGTGGTTCATGAGTGTTATAGTTGGTATTTGTCTGCTTATTACAATTGGCGAAAGTTACAATTTCGACTTTAGTGATCTATGCTATAAATTGTATGATTAATTGACTGGTAAGTTTAATTTGGATTAAATTATTAAAAAGAGTTTTGAATATTTTAATCCGACCAAATGATAAGGGTGAAAGCTTACTTGCTCAGGTGAACAATATATATCTCTATAATCTGAAGAATATGATTCTCGTTTTATCTTTGTACGTTTTTCTATTCTAATTATTTCTTGTGCTGATCAAACTTTTTAGAAGAATTTTTCTTCGTTTATTTACATTAATCCCCTAAACACACATGCATATCCAAGTTGTTGATAAAAGTTGATTTTTATGCATTGGTCAATATTGCAGAGTATGAAGGAAGTTGTGAATCATGCAACAAAGCTCAATGAAGCAATCTTTGGTATGAAAGGTGTTCCTGTCGTAAGAGCTCAAATATCTTTTGGAGGTTACTACGATCATGGACTTTGAATCTCATCCGTCCATACTTATATGTTTTGGAATCAACAGTTCAGATCGAGTCTTGTCACTATCCGCTAGACATGCATGATTATAGACTTATAGTAAATAAATTTTTGTAAATTATATTATTTTGTTAAAAAAATCAGATTAATTATGTGTTGTTAATAGAACATTGTGAGATTTCACGTAATCTTATTTGTCATTAAAGATCAAATATTTTAATGATTTCTTTTTTCTTATGTGAATGACTTATACGCCAATACCAAATACATGATCCAATGTTTGGTAATTTTGGAGGATCATTATCAATGAGGTATAATAACTATTCTTCTTGTTTAGGTCCAGTACCAAATCCTTAAATCTAGAAATTTGTTACTTGGATATATATTCCATTTTTTTCATATAATGGAAGACATGTATAATTTACAAATTTTGCTACGCAAACTAATCCTAGACAACCTCTTAAAGATATGAGGTTTGCATGCTTCGATCCATTTTCACATGGTTTTTGTTGGGGGAGAAAAGTGTATAACTGAAATTGAATGAGAGATTTTCTGAATGTTAAAAGTCATTGCCATTTGCCACTAGGAAAAAGGCAAACTCCTTCAATTTTCTCACTTCTCTAAAATAAAATCTAACCGTCAATTTTATAATCGAACGGTTAATAAAAGATCCTTCCATTGACGGCCATGGAGATAAATACAACTGATGATGCCCTAAACCAACCTTTGCCTCCCTCATACAGAGCCGGTTTTA